TTATTACATGGCTTCATATGATCAGCTGACAAATACAAGTGGACACAGAACAAAGGAAACAATAGATTACCTCACTTACTATTGTTTCCAACCCCAAGCTGTGAACTACTTAACATAACAATATACTCTCAATTAGGCTAAACAATAGACCTTAAAAGTCTATGACATCATCGGTTGTCTTGAATAATTTTGCATGTAATTATAGTCACTGCAATGGGATAGACAGGAAATCTCTACTTGACCAGATTCTATTGTCTATTTCCGGCAATGCTGCCCTCGATGTTCACTAGGTTTTCAATGCTTGCAGAGGCGGCGGTACGAAATGTTGAGTGGGGGGAGGGGGCTGTTGACCAACCTTGCGCCGAAGGCGAACCCTTACTATGGGGTCCGGGGTATGCTCTCCCTTAAACATTTTGAAATATGGACCCTCTGAAACGCTATTTCCTGCATTTGGGGGAGGCACATTTTGTTGATATAAAGGGTTTCACTTTGATTTTGGAGGGGCGAATCCACCCCAACATTTTTTTCGAGGGGCGACCGCCCCCCCCCCCTGCCTCCCCCCTCCGAGCCGCCGCCACTGACTTGTGCGTAGAATTACATTACAACAATTAAATGCGAATAACATAAATGCATAGGCTAAATTGTTTTACATCGTGGCAATATCTTGATACTAAAAAGTAAATAAGTGTCGACGTTCATAAAATTCGCTTTTGGGCTGCTTGATCCCGATAACGATTCTGATATCTTAGAAAAAGGTGAAAGCCACCTGCCCTCGTATCTCGGAGCGGTTGAGTGTTGTAAAAAGAAAATATTTCCGAAGTTGGTCTTCAGGTGGCGTACTTTACACCCGAGCATACGCATGCGCGATATATCTACACATGGTTTGGGTATTTGTAACATTTTGCTGATTTGCTTCTGGATATTTCGACGTTCACTGACAATATTGAGGACTATAACCAGCGAAAATGGGTGATATGAATAATTCCAATGAATCGATCGAGCTGTTCGTGAGGGTAAGTAAAAATAGAAACCTCACAGTCCGAAGTATGCCTGGAATGTCTTGAGATCCCCTCCAAACTGTACGATGTTATTGACGTGCCAATACTATACTATGCAGCAGTTATTACAGGTAGTCCATGGATGTGGTTATAAAAATCTACCCGCGTAGTATGATTTATGGCGTTCATATTTTAGTGTCGCGAGTGTCGTACGACGGGGACCTTTTTCGGGGTGGTGTCAAATTTCAAAATGGCCGCTATTTTCTTTCCGACCGAAATCTTTGCTCTAATTTACGGTGGCAATTCGGAATAGATTAAAATCATGTTTAGGTTTATTTTTATCTCATCATTATTAGTTCAAACGTTAATTTGACTTCGTATTGTGCTGTTTTCGTAGATGTTGATGTAAAGGCCGCCTTTTTATTTTAATGTTTCCAACTTTTTGAATCGTCGAAATACAAATGACGGAATGTATTTTTGTTTTCGCATGACTTTACTGATAGCTCAAAATATTCCAACCATCACGTATTTATCTCCTGTCGACGACAGAAAAATTTATTTAGGGGATGTCACATCACTTTCTAGTCGTATAATGGCAGTGATTTCTTGTCGTTAGTCGATGAATGATAGGCCATAACCGTACGTCAATCATCTAAATAAACTGTGTCATAATGTAGTAAATACACAGTTGGTGTGTACAATAGGAAATCATATAGTCACGGACAGCTGTAATATCCTGCCAAGTAGATAACAATTATTTTCTAGTACAGGAAAGTATGGTTCTGTTCCCATACTTGATACAGTGCTGTAATCAGGTGATTAGTTCTAAATGTGACTGGGTCAAAGGGGTTTGGTCCGGTAACAATGCCCATTGCATGCTACCAGTCCAATGAATGTTTAACGTGTGGGTTAGAGTTAATGTTGAACAGTAATGTTTTAACACATCTATTACTTTGTGATAGAATTGTCTTAACACTTGTGCACTGTGCTACAATTGATAGTTGGGAGGTGTGGGGGGGGGTGTCAAGCCTTATGAAACTGAATTTGTTTTGCCCTTAGGCTGCATGTTCATGTTCTATAGTTAGCTTGAGTTGGGAGTTGTCGAGTACTGTTCTAGTTTTGTAATGTCTTTTTTTTATTGACTTGACCTACTCTTAAGGACAATATCAAAACACTAATCAATAATAGAAAAACAAAACTTATTAATAATATAGATGAATGTAGCAAGACAATGTTTTTTATTATAATTAAGAGATTTAATTATTTGTCGTTTTAATCAGTATGGTTGTATAACATAAACAATATTTTAGAATATAAACAACTAAAAACATCAAAAAAAAGTTCATTTTGAACGAGGACCACCAAAAAAAAGTTAATTTTGTCTAATAGAAAATGTTTAGGGTCACCCCCATCCCTTAACTAAGTGATAAAGTTTTTTTATCTGATGTCAATCTTTTGACTTTGTCTCTTAGTTTTCAATAATTAATCACAAAATTCGAAGTTTAATTCACATGTAGTTAATTAACAACTTTGCTAGTACATTTTTATGCTGCTTTGTCATCCAATTGAATAATACACTTTTTTTTTCAATTTTTATTATCAGTTTGTGCCTCCAAAATCTTTTTATTCAATTTTCTATAATTAATAATTCATAAAATGAAGATGAAATTAAAGTTTGAAACATAGTAACAGTTGAATTGAAAAAATTATTATATTTACATTGTATGTACAGAGTGTACCAGTACCAAGAGATCTTTGCTAGATAAAACATTATCACAGATAATCAGGATTCACTTTGTATTCCTACTATACATGAATGTAGACTATGACATTGGTGTTGAATAAGGCTGTCTAGTTTTTGATCAATGCATTCATTGTTTCTTAGCTACTGTTTTCTGACAATGATTCATACTATGAAGCAGAAACTTGATTAAAATTTGGTACTATGTGGACCCCTTCACCTTTCCCCCAGCTCAAACCTTAATTACTTGTCCTTGTGAACTAAATAATATGTAACTTATCGGTATTCATTGCATTGTCTGAATTTTCCCAGATATGGGGTAAACCCTATCGCCAGCATTTAATGACTTTCAGGTTATTGGTGTCACATTCAATTACTTTTTTTTGTTCATATGGGATTCAGAAGTGTACATATTGGTACAAACAAAAATATTAAATAAATAAATAGAAAAATACATACAAACAAACAAACAAAATATTGCATCAAAATCTTGAATGAGACAATGATGGTACTCCGGTACTTGAAACATTGATATGTCAGCCTGTTCATTGTAAATTGTGAAATGATAACATGAAATGTAATATGAATAATTATTCATGGAGTAAACCTTTAATGTAACTGATTTGGCAGGCAGGTCATGGCTGGATGCACAAAGTCATTGTCCTGTTTTGACACATACAACACATTGTTCCATATTTTAGTTACATCATTTCATGCTACCATACTAAACATCTAAAAATAGTTGTGAATCAGTGTTTAGAGTTTTAAAAAATGCAAACCACTTGTAGCATGTCTGTGTATGTCAAGAATGCGTACTTAAGTCGCTGGATAATGCCTGCTCCCTCCATGACTAGTTTCTTTGTAAACTGAAACTTGTAAGATTTCTGCCAGATTCTTTGTTGTAGAGTGTCTAGTGTTACATTAGAGCCATTTTATGTAACTTTTTCAATGAGGCGAATTTACCAGTGTATGTAATTAAGTCTGAATGTTAGTCCTGATTTGTAATGAGTTGTCTTCAGCTTAGGATGTTACTTGATATTACTATAGTATTAAATTCTAATATTTGGTTATACATTGTAAAAAAACACAAAAACAAACATTATTACTTGTGTTCACACATAGCTCTTTAGCACGGGCCAAGTAGTCAAATTCCTTAGCCCGTGCTAAGAAAACATGTGTGAACGCTTAGCACAGGCTAAGAATCATTGGCCTATTTTTGAGACCCAATACAGATACATAGCACGCGCTAACAAAGTGTATGCTTAACTCGGGCTAAAAATCATTGAACTGAAGGTATTCCTTTTATTCTGCAATCTACGCTTTCTGAATTTGCTTTAGTATTGTTTTATAACCCTAGAACTAACATGTATACCTTCCTAGTTACTGTACTGAGTAATCATATTTGAAATTACCAAATATTTTTGTATGTTCTTAAAAAGTTTAGACCTTCCCGTGTTACCACTGTTTCCCCCTGTGCGTGAACGCAATTGGGTATATCCAATATGCAAACATATGAGATTAGCCTAAATCTTAGCCCTACTTCATGTAGTATGAACACTATAAATATATATCCAATTATGCTTTATTAATAAATTCAAATTGCATGAAAAATATTGCTGAAAGGGTAGTCTTTACACATAGGTTGTTAATACATTAAGCCTTCGGACTGCCTGAAAGTTATCACTATAGGCAGGTGGTCTTTCAATAGAGAAGGTCACTTACACAGAACTAAATGTATTATTTATGGGTTGTCGTCGATATAGGCGTGCCCTATTTAGAATCTGTATTTCTGTGTTGCTTTTCTTTGTAGAATGTTCATTTCAAAATGACATTTTAGCCTGCAGCTTTATAACTATCATTATAAATCGGTTGTCCCGTAAATAACTGTCAGTCTGTTGTACTCAATGTCTACATATGGTATTGAAGTTTCATTGAACTGGTGACCTTTTGATTACTTAGTTTGTCAGTATTTTAAGACACTTGAAAGTTAACCAACTCTTTGTTTACCCACTACCCCACGAGTGACACGCGCTTATTGTATAATGGCGTCCATTACGTCTATCAGTAAGCAGTTCATTCATTGAAAGGACCATAAATGGATATTGATTCGAAAGCTCAGGTCAGTGTTCAGGTTAGCTTAGCCTCTATGCATTCCATCTATGTATTCATTTTCTCATGTCTTGAGGGTAACGACCTTTGAACCATTGTTTCCGATAAAGTATCTGAGATTATCCACTCCATCATGTGTTCATATGCTAATGAGGCACTCCTGGCATTAAAGCCTTACCTCAGAGTATATGAATGTGTTGATTTTAAGGTCGCCTGATTAACCACTACGGCTTTCAGGTCTTATTAAAGCCATGCTACAAATATGTATATAGTTATAAGTAATTTTGAATTGGTAAGTTGAAGTTGTAAGACAAAATTGTTTTTTTGAAACTATAAAGTCAAAATTTCGCGATTATGTATTTTTTAGCATTACATGTACATGTAATAGAATATCCATACTAGATTATATATTAAAATAAAGTTTCTGCTCGAAATTGATTTAACATTCTAATAAGACTGGTTGATAGGATGTCATTTTTGTATGTTGTATACAGTCATCAGAAATCCAGTTTCACTGGACCTCAAATACTTGTGTGTTCCTATCCAAAACTCTGTATTGTATCCGCTCTGTTAGTAATGAATGTATTCACGTAAATGACCATAGCTGTGTCTATTTCTGTTATAAGTCATAGTTTTGGTTCATGTGCACTTCTAATACTGTAAATGACTAATTTTCACTGGGTTTAAATTACACTGATTTACCATTTCAGGCATATACAGTCGGTTTTAAATTCACCGCTTTATCATTTAGATAATGTGTTCTATGCTAAATTTTACATATTCACTGGGTTTTAATTTAGCACATTTTCCAGTCAGAAAAATACGCAAAATTAAAACCCAGTGAATAATTAACGCTTTTACAGTAATTAAGATGAAAATTTAGTATGCCATTCAATTGAAAGTGATAGTGTAATAAAAAAATATTGCTATCTATTGTTATTTTTTATATAGATCATGAACAAAATTAAAATTGTTTTTGAATTATTGAGATTCCAAGCTTGTATTAAAATCTTATACATGTATAATGAAAAAAAATAATTAAATAATGAATTTATTATAACATGTGCAAAAATAATGTACATAATAGATATGAGCATATTGATATTATGTTTAGCCATTAATTATTAATATATATGTATATATATATATAATATATGTATTCAAT